ATCCATCCACCACAGAACAAACCCTCACGTTACAGAAGTAATTCAAATTCTGAAACCTTTCAATTGTTATTGAAGTATTTAAAACAGACTCGATTGTATGAAAGAATATAGTTTTTTTGAGAGCTGTTCCAGTCCACACTCCACATCAGTAGGTGGCAGTAATGCACCTTAACATTGCCAACCGCCAAAAAAAAAAAAAAAAAAAAAGAAGAAAGGAGAAATGCAGGTCCTGAATGCAGACCAATAAATTGCCTTCAGCCAGAGCTGCTCTGTGGGGTTGTATGTCATGTACTCTTTTCTATTCAATTTCCATGGATTGGTACATATTCTGTGTTGTTCAAGCACATAAAATGGTAAACAAATACGCTTAACAATATTTTCTTTCACTATCATTGCCACTAGTTTAGTTGCATTTCAATCCTATATCTCTAATCCTAACTTTAACCCAAAACAAAACGCATGTTTCTATTTCAGGATCTTTTTCCAGGAACCAGGGTAATTATCTGGGTTAATTTTTATTTTCCCCACTGCTTCCACTACAATAACCAGAGCCAGGACAGGTTACCAGGTTGGACTTTTACCTCATAATATACAATATATAACAGAATGGTTGGATATTTGACCAGCTGCAACACCTCAACAGCTACATGTTGGCAGTGAAATTTACAGAAATAAACAGGCGCATCAACTAAAATATTGCAGAGACCCCTGGCACTGGTGGAGATGTTGCTGGAGATGAACCAGGATGAAGAAAGTCCTCATGTCATCAGACGGAAAAGACATTTAAGGTCTTTTTTATGCTACAAGTGAGATGTTAAATAAAATGCAGGTACAAGTACTGATAGTGGAGCTAAACCCAAATTATGTATACAGCGCTGCCATCGGCAGTATCTCTTCACCCTCTGTTAACAATAGGTATTAATTAGGTGTGAACGATAGCCATGTGATGTGAGTATCAGTCACTGAGGCAGGACTCAAAAGCCTGAATTTTGCCTGAAACTCTCAGACTGAAGAAGTCTCTTGGAAGAGAGACGAAACGTTTCATTAAAGAAGAACCCGTCCAGAGGACCTATACAATTTTTTTCCTTTTGATTTTTTACCTGGATTACTGAGATGCATCAGGACCAAAATTATGAATGTTTTCTTTTTATTTATTTATATGTAACGTTGAAGTTATTCCTCAAGTGGGAAGATGTGTCTCAGTGCATTTTAAATCTGACATGAAAGTGATCATCATGATTACAGGGTAGCACATGGTCATGAAAACATACGTCAAGCAAAGGCTAGACGTCTCATTTCACAGCAGTTTTATGCAGCCTATCTGGACTGCATGGGCTGTTGCCTACGTGAGTCACAGTCTAGACGGGATGCAGCCTGTCTTTATTCATTTTAGAGCCGGAGACCCTCCCCCCATCTGTCAAACAGTGGGCAAGGTCTCCATCTCCAGTTGTCCCCATATTTCAATGCTGTTATTACAAGTATGCCTCAGCCCTCTGGCAACAATAGGGGTAATCAGGGCCCTAACAATCAATCGTTAGGCTGATGGTCCTCTTTTGCATGTGAACAACAGTTTTGATTATCATCATTAAACTTGTTTGTCCACCATGTGGAGAAACTGCTTGTAAGGCTGAGTTTACCTGAAACTCCTCAGACTGAAACAGAACATTTTTCAAGAAACATCTTAGGGAACTCCTATTGTAGCTTCTCAGCATGACATTTGCCATAGTGTCTTCTGAGGTAAACATCCTAATTGAACAGTGAACCAATGGTCAAAGCTGCTGTGAATAGTCCTCCAAGAAAACATGCAATTGCTCTAGCATGTGTGATATAGTACCTAGTTCTGCATGTTGGACACCATCTTTGATCCATCTTCAGTCTTCCATAGATGTCAGGTTATTGTTAGTGGATATCTCGGGGTCAGTACAACTCTGAGTGTGTAAATGGAAGTTGTATAATAGACTTGGCTATTTCAGAAAGATTCCAGAGTCTGAGTTCAACAATCTGAAGTTGTAGTGGTTATGGATCTGAGTCAAGATGCATTCCTTCAAAGGTTGCCTTGACATTATTGTGTCTGGCAGAAGGAAGGTCATGGGCGTGAATCTTTGTGTGTACACAGAACCACATACACAGGTAGGGTTGTTGTGTCAGAAATGTACATTAGAACAGTGTTTCCCAAAGTTGGGGTCGGGACCCAAAGTGGGGTCGTGAAACATTAAGTTGGGGTCCTGA